CACTTGGTCTGTTCTCCCGGACTTACATGACAGTGATCATTTCCCAATCATTCTTACTTCCCCTTCATATTCGCCACCTCTTCGCACCCCACGCTGGCAATTTAATCGGGCAAATTGGAACCTTTACTCACACCTAACTGTTTTTAAAGAGGTTCCTTCTTCGTCCTCCATCGATGAGCTTTTACACCTCTTCTCGTCCTCCGTTTTCATCGCAGCTTCTCATTCTATACCCCAAACTTCGGGCAGGCATTCTCAGAAATGCGTGCCTTGGTGGTCTCCTGCTTGTGCTCGTGCAGTACGTTTTGAAACGCGCTGCATGGGGCAGGTACCGGTACAATAGAACCACAGAGCGACTCCTTGATTTTAAACAGAAGCGTGCGATCGCTCGCCGTGTCATCCGTGACGCTAAACGCACTTGCTGGCGAGATTATGTCTCCACCATCACCTCTGCTTCCTCTATGAGTGCAGTCTGGAAAAAAGTACGAAAACCGAGTGGTAAATATTCTCCTGACCCGGCTCCTGTTCTGCAGGTTCCCGTGTTGATATAGCAAACCCACTAGATGTTGCCAATGAAATTGGCAATCTTTCTGGTCCGTATTTCTCAGGGACTTCCATCTATGCCCCTCATTTCTTTCCTCAAAGTCTGCCAGAGAGTTAGCACCCTTGGACTTTTCTTCTCTCAGAGAAGAACAGTATAATGTGCCTTTTACACTTCAAGAACTGGAGGCAACACACTCAGCTTGTCGATCATCGGCAGCTGGGCCCGACGACATTCATATTCGTATGCTACAACATTTACATCAGTCAGCCCTTGCAGTCCTATTACGCCTTTACAATCTTATTTGGTCACAAGGAGTTCTTCCACAGCTGTGGAAATCCGCCATTGTTCTCCCTTTCCGCAAACCAGGCACTACGGGACATGAAACCTCCCACTATCGTCCCATTGCTCTTACCAGTGCAGTTTGCAAAGTAATGGAACGCCTAGTAAATAAGGAGTTTAGTGTGGTATTTAGAGACACAACAGTCTCTCCACTCGTCAATATGGCTTTCGTAAGGGACGTTCTACCATAGACCCCTTACTACGCTTGGATACGTATGTTCGTAATGCCTTTGCGAATAACCACTCAGTTATTGCCATATTTTTTGACCTTGAGAAGGCATATGACACAACTTGGAGGTATAATATTTTAGCCCAAGCCCACTCCTTAGGCCTTCGAGGCAATCTACCATCCTTCCTTAAGAACTTTTTAACTGACAGGCATTTCCGTGTTCGGGTTAATAATGTGCTCTCCCCGGACTTTATCCAAGCTGAAGGTGTCCCCCAGGATGTGTTCTGAGCACAACACTTTTTCTCCTTGCTATTAATGATTTGGCCTCTAGTCTTCCATCAAATATTTGGTCATCACTCTATGTTGATGACTTTGCTATTGCCTGTGCAGGCGCTGACTGTCACCTCCTTACAGTTTCTCTCCAACATGCAGTCGACCGTGTTTCCAATTGGGCCACCACACGTGGGTTTAAATTTTCCAGCACTAAAACCCACCAAATCACTTTCACTAGACGCTCTGTCATCTCCGATCATCCTTTGTACCTCTATGGCTCCCGTATCCCTGAACGTGATACAGTCAAGTTTCTGGGCCTCCTCTTTGATCGTAGGTTATCCTGGAAACCTCACATTACCTCTCTGAAGGCAACTTGTCACAGCCGGCTGAACCTTCTTAAAACCCTTGCTCATCTTTCGTGGGGAGCTGATCGTCGAACCCTCCTTCGCCTACATTCCACCCTTATTTTATTGAAACTTGATTATGGTGACCAGATCTATTCAGCGGCATCTCCTGCTACTCTCTCTAGCCTTAACCCCATTCATCACCAAGGATTACGTTTATGCCTTGGTACTTTCCGCTCTTCCCCTGTCGAGAGCCTCTATGCAGAAGCGAACGTTCCATCCTTATCCGATCGCCGTGATGCCCATTGCCTGCGCTACTATGTACGCTCTCATGATCTCCGCAATCCTTCCATTTATAGAATGGTCACTGATGATAGTAGACATTCTTTATTTGTTCACCGCCCCTGTTTACTCCGTCCCTTCTCTCTTCGCCTTCATTCGCTCTTGTCTTCTCTTCAACTACCACCTTTCTATGTACATGTAGCATCTCACTTTTCCCTACCCCCCTGGGAAGTTCCAGCTGTTCGAGTCTTCTTTCTCCCTCCCTTGCTCGAAAGCCCAACTGTCTACGGTCGCTTCCCGCTCTCTTTTTCTTGACCACTTTCACTCTCATTCTCATGCCATTGCTGTGTACACAGATGGCTCTAAGTCTTCTGACGGCGTAGGATTCGCAGCAGTGTTTCCGGACAGCGTCGTACGAGGGCATTTGCTATCTTCGGCTAGTATTTTTACTGCTGAATTATATGCCATCCTTACAGCACTTATCCGTATTGCATCTATGCCTGTGTCATCATTTGTGGTTGTCTCAGACTCCCTTAGTGCTTTACAGGCTATACAAAAATTTGATACACCTCACCCCTTAGTCCTCCGTATCCAACTTTGGCTACGCCGCATCTTTACCAAGCATAAAGATATTGTTTTTTGTTGGGTCCCTGGTCATGTTGACGTACAGGGCAATGAACAGGCAGACACTGCTGCGCGGTCAGCAGTACATGACCTACCAGTTTCTTATAGAGGTATTCCATTTACGGACTATTTTGCTGCAATATCTTCCCACCTTCACACCCGTTGGCAACAACGTTGGTCTACTATGCTCGGCAACAAACTTCAATCTATTAAACCGAGTATAGGTTACTGGCCGTCTTCTTATCACCAGTGTCGAGGTTGGGAGACTACTCTCTCCCGTTTTCGCATTGGCCATACTCGTCTTACTCGTGGATATCTCATGGAGAGGCGTCTTGCTCCTCTCTGTGAGAATTGCCAAGCTCCATTATCAGTCAGCCACATTCTGTTGGACTGCCCACTTTATCAACGAGCACGCAGAATTTACCTCTGTCGTCGTCTTCGCTCCGCTGCTCTCTCTTTACCTTCCCTTCTCGCTGATGGACCCACCTTTCATCCGGACTCTCTCATTGACTTTTTGACAACGACTGACTTACTTCACAAATTCTGATACCTTCAGCCCTTTCTACTTCAATCTCTTGCTACCCTCTACCCCCGTACTATCCCCTGCCCCGCTGTTTTCTGTAACCTGCTGATCCCCCCCCCTCCCTTCTGCCATCCAATTCCCTTGCTTCCTTCCCTACCCTGCAGCGCTGTATAGCCCTTGTGGCTTAGCGCTTCTTTTTGATTATAATAATAATAATTAGCGCTCCATGATTATAATAATAGTTAATAAAGAAAGTGTAAAATTGTAATTTTTAGCTGTAATTTATATAATTTACGAAATCGTGCTATCTACACTAAAAAAAATATTGATTAATATGAAACTAGTCTGAAACCTCACTGCTACTTGGGTGACTGACTAGTGCTGCTTAGCAAGACTGGCAGTAATTTTATTTCGTTAATTTCAGATTCACACTGCTCCTTTGTTTATGCTGTGCTTTCATTTTTTAAGTTATTTACTAAATTTTTAATTACTGCTATACATTAAATGTGCTGGCAGAAGTGACACCGGAAAGTGTCGGAATACCTGCAAATGCAAGTATTCTGACACTTTAACGGTGTATAATTATATTGTATATAATAGGGTAATGCCCCAATTACATCCTCTTGTTCCACATAACATTTTTCAGTGTTTTTGCTTCATAAATTTATTAATCGCAGGATGCCACCATTTAGAAAATATGAAACTATTACAAGGGCTGATAAATTAGACACATGTGCAACTCTTGGGTATCTTTGTTGAGGAAATGTTTCGCCACACAGTGGCTTCATCAGTCCATACATAGGAGAAACTTGAACAGGAGGAGAATGAGGTAATCAGTCCCTCAACCTTGAGTCGATGTGTTCAGTCCATCAATCTTGAGTAGAATACGGCAGATGAGCGGAGAAGCAGCTTATAAACCGTATGGCAGGAGAGGTGTTTATTAGCTGCTTCTCCGCTCATCTGCCGTATTCTACTCAAGACTGATGGACTGAACACATCGACTCAAGGTTGAGGGACTGATTACCTCATTCTCCTCCTGTTCTTCAAGTTTCTCCCATGTATGGACTGATGAAGCCACTGTGTGGCGAAACGTTTCCTCAACAAAGATACCCAAGAGTTGCACATGTGTCTAATTTATCAACATGTCGGTTCTCTGAACCATTCATCTATTACAAGGGCTGAAATGGTATAACTCCATTTATATTGTATAAGGAAACTGATTAATGATAGTTTAAACCAGCTCTTTGGTGTGCAAGAAAAATTTGTGCCGGCTAGACTGATCCATGCCTGCATATTTCTTTTTTTTTTTTCCATATTGGTTAACTTTGTCACTAGTCAATCTTACCGTAATTAAACATAATTTTCATTAGGTAGTGGCTTTACTGAAGAAAAAAAGCAGGTGCTAGAGAAAGCGTTTGTGACTTTTATCTTTAGAGCATTAGTCAGTCGTAATTTGATAGTTCTGCATAGAGCAAAATGTCACAAAGCGTACTCTGCACCTTTCTCTTCAATACTGCTGGCAATTTGCATTTGTATCCAGTGGCTTCATTGTCCATAACCAACTCCCCGAGACCAGTGATAACTTCCTTATCCAGACCATAATGAAATCAGAATTGCTTTAGTTTTTTATACATGTTTCAAGTTATTATGAATGTTTGTACATAGAGAAACTGTTAAAATTGTAAAGTAATTTGTTTAGCTTTATTGATACTAATTCAAATGAATATTAAAAATCTTGAGTGACAATTTTAAGTAACTCTATATAGCAATTTCAGAATCTGCATTTTTATAATTTTATGCTATTTACCTTAACATTACCTTCCTTGAGCTTTCCAGTGGAGTGCACATACATTTTCAGTTAAAATATTGTATTACATAATTTTCCTAACTAGAGCATCCTTACAGGCAGTGGGTGTGGCTATAGTTGCTCTAGCCTCCATCATCATCAACAAGGACAGCGACTATGGAAATTTGCTGTTGTCAAAGGGCATGTTTACAGTGCCTGTCATTGTCCTCATCATTGGTCTTATCATCGTCATCATTGGCTTCCTGGGATGCTGCGGTGCACTGAAGGAGAATTCCTGCATGCTGAAGACGGTATGATACTTCTAATAGTACTATTTACTAATACTGTAATCAGTTTAGCTATTCCCAAAGGTCCTATTCGTGAACGAATTATCCTGCCACTACTTAACCTAGTGACATTAAAATACTGTAGGTATATACACAATAAAATTCTGGTTTGCATATAAATTTCTCTTATGACCACATATAATAAAAATTACTGTACACAAGATACCTTTTGAAAGTGCTGTAATATTATTTAATCTAACATACTGCAAAACAAATTTCTAAGTCTTTTTGCACTATCATACTAGTATTTAATCTGGTATTTCATAAAGGATATTAAGTGATGTCCTAAATTTAATTTGTGATCCCATCAGTAAGTTCATGCCAATAATTAGTTTTGATAATGTAAACCATTTTTTCATTGACCCACAAAAATAATTTGTATTAGTGTAGAATTTTTGTTTATTAACATTTTGATTTATCATATCTTTATTTACTACAAATACATGTACACAGTATACAGGCCTAGCTGACATCAGTGACATACTACTATATAGAAAGCCCCCTTGTTATTCTGAGCATTTGGGCATATTAGGTCAGTTTTGTCCCAGGATGAAACCCACACCAGTCGACTAACACCCAGATACCCATTTTACTGATGGGTGAACATAGACAACTGGTGTAAGGAAACACGTCCAATATTTCCACCCCTTCACCGGGAATTGAACCCGGACCCTCAGTGTGAAGCGAGAGCTTTTTGCCACCAGACAAGACAGTAAACCCATGGTTTAGTGGACCAATTACAGGTTAAAAAAAAAGTAATCACAATACTACTGGCCAACTGCTTGCCTTCCCTTCAATATAACATTAAAATGAGCATTTACTGTCGTTATAAACAAAGTAATTGCAATTCCTTTAATTTCATTATTTTGAGTGCTTATAATACATTACTAGTATTAATGGCAGACAGGTGCTGTTCCCAAAAATTGACTCAAAATTGTTGGAAATACATTTAAAGATTTTGTGCTAAATGAATTTAGCCGTTATGTCGTAGTTAATGTACAAATTCTCAATTTTGCACTAAAACCAACCTTGCAGTCCAAGGTGATCTTCCTAAAACTGCATAATATAACTTAATTCTGTGTAATCTTTTGAAATTCAGCTTAAACTTGGTTTTCATTATTTAACATTAATGAAATAGGTCACCAACCAAGGTAGGGTGACCTTTAAGAATAAACATTCACCATCATTCACTTTTGCTGTCTTGCTAGTAGTGTTCTGATTTTCCTAGATAATTTACATAATTTCCCTTCCAAGAAAGACACCTGTCTTAGGGCACTTTCTGCATCTGATAATTTAATTTATTTTATTGGGGCTAAACTTCTGTAACCACTGGGTAGGTATTGTATTAAATGCCAAAGAGATTAGATACACCAGTACTGTTACATAGAAGCATTATGGATTTTTTTTGACCATGCAAGGACTTAATTAACCCATGGGATCAGTGCTTGTGAATTTAGTAAGCAATAGTAAACCCTTGACTTTGAAAAAATTTAAAAGTATCTGTTGGGTCAGTTGATTCAGAAATGATGAACCAAGCCTGTTGGTTACAGAATTGTCTAACTGCAAAACAAGCTTTTCTATATCCAGCACAATCTTTAATGGTAACCCACTCTCTGCTTTGAATTGGCTGCTCGAGTCGAATGATTGATGTGCTCCAGGTTGATAGTCCTTTCTTATGTCAGTGTTCGTAGTTTTTGGATTAGCATCATTAATACTGATTAGTGTAAAGTGTGAAAATCAGTGATAGACCTGGAACACAAGGACAGTATGAAAGATTTATTTGCACCTCAGCTAAGACACCCTTATTAGCAGTCTGTATACAATTCTTTATTGTACCAGAATGAAGCTGATAATCAGTCCTGTTGTCTTGCACATTTATAGTAGTGTACCATTTATAAAATGGTTAAAAATAATTCCAGCTATTTTCTACATAGCTATTGTTCTTTACATGACTAAACCAAGAAATTGTAGTTTACCTCTTTACATAGATATATAAGGTAGTTACTGTACATCTTGTGGATGATCCATTGGATGTGTAACAGACAGAGGGGTTGATAGTTTTTTGTCTGCTATTAAATAGCAGCAATGAGTGCCCTAGAAATACTATACTGTATGGTGGTAATGACTGACAGAAAAGGTGGGGTAGTGTTTTTTTGAAAGTATGCTACAACATAATTTGCTACTGGAATTTTTAAAATCTTGCAGCCTATTAGTAGTAGGTACAAGTGAAAGATGTAGATTTCACAGGACACACACAGAAAAATCTCGTGTGCAAAATACTTTTACTTAAGCTTCCTTTTATAAAATCTGAATTCACTACCCATTTAGCATGAGGAATTGAAATGCAGATAATGTTGAGGCAGATAAATGGACATTCATTACTCTTAAAGTGTAGTATTAAATGCTGTGGTTTTATGGGAATTATGCTTTCTTAATTGCAACAGTTATTAAGATTAAGATGTTTATTTTGACATGATACATGGTTGTACAGAGGAATATAATAGTTGGGTGTACATGCCAAAAGCCCCTTTGTATGCAGAGCATTTCAGGCAAACTTAAAGATTAACTTCAGATTAGGAAGGCAATAATAGTTCAGATGGTCATTAGACGAGTTACAATGAGTACAAAAGAATTTAATACTCTATCAGGTAATGCTACATGGCTTTGATAATAATTCAATAGTGTAATAATTCTCTACCTTATCAGTGTTTGGTTCTAAATAAATTTTTTTTATTAAACATTTGGTCATATACATTTTTCAACTGCTTTTAATTTTTCATCTTAATACAGGTACCCTTATTTTGGTTTGCTAATACATTTAGAAAATCATTGTACTGGAAACCATGAGACTGATGTGTAGCACTTGTTACCAAAGATGTACCATATGTAGAAAAAAAAAAAAACCTTGGCACTGATTACTGATAACGTTTACTGATTTTACATCAACAGTATGCATTCATTGTGGCTGTGCTTCTCATCTCGCAAATTGTCCTGGGGATCCTCCTCCTCGTATACTCTCAAAAGGCTGAAGATGTAATAAAGGATGGTATGGAAGAAGTTTTTGAGGGGTATGGTAAAGAAGATTTAGCTCTTACAAAAAGCATTGACCAGATTCAACATGATGTAAGTTAAACAAATTTAAAACCTTTAAAATGATTTCAAGTTAATGAATAAGATAGTGAATGAACAACTGGTTACATCCAGTCAGCTGGGATGTGGATTAACTCGTACAATTTTCATGTTTGTGTGCATACACTATCTCTCTACAATCAGCCCTTTGACCCTTAATTTTAGTGTATGTTTTGGTGACAAACTCACAAGGTGACACTACGAGCATGGCTCTGTTAGTGTAGCTAAAAGTATTTAATAACATAACATAATACGTTCTATACTTGCATTCATATTTATGCAGTTGCTGTATGACCTCCACATTTAGTGCTTCCCATAAAATTAATAATGGACACTTGTTTCTCCAGCCTCATAACTTGAGCACATATATACATTGTTGTGTGCTCCCATTGTATTATCACAGGCCTGTCTTGAGGCAGTATCCATTTGAAACAAATTCATTTATTTTCTCACTCCCTCTCAAATATACATGTTTGATTAATTTTGAAATGCTTTGTATGCTTAAATGCTGTATTAGTATTTAGGACAGAATTATACTCTTCTGAATTTAAAAGTTTAAAATTTAATCAAAATTCCAATGACTACTTGCCACTACCTCAATACACATTGAACATTAAACAAATAATATTTTCAACAGCTGAAGTGCTGCGGTGTGAGTAATTACACTGATTGGAGAGAGTTAGGTCAAGGCAATGATGTGACCATAGGCTGCTGTAAGAATCAAACTGATGAGTGCGTTATAGCTATGGTCACCAAGCCCCCATTGGTAGCCACCAAAACTATCTACACTGAAGGGTGTTTTTATGCCATTAAGGAAGATATCCAGAGTATCACTATTGGACTTGGTGTTGCCTGTCTCATCCTAGCTGCAGTTGAGGTCAGTACATACTGCTTTACTAATAGTGGACATATTGATTGTAAGATACTCTCAATTCTATTTATATTTATTACATGCTTTGCCTTTGGTGAGTTGGATTGTCTTATGTGAAACTATAATGTATTCCTGTTGCTGTTATCTTGTTTCTTAGTTAAATCAATGAAATACATATGTAACTTTAATTACAATGTTAGCTGTAATTATTTTTGTTTATAGAGGCACTTAAAAAAGTTACTAATGCCTTAAGTGACCAGGTATCAGTTTTCCTAAAAAAAAAAAAAATTCTTTTTCAGGTGATGAGCATTAGTTGTGCTTGTGGAATTGCCAAAAAATCTAAGCATTATGCTTAATCACCAGCTGTGTATCCTTAAGTTTGTCAGAAGATAGTCTACACATTTGAAAATTTAATTATTCTCTTCAGTGATCTGTTTCTTCAAATGGCTCTACTGACCAGAGCCATGTTTGTAAAAGTGCAACTAGTAATGACTATGCCAAATATTTATGTATTAATTTGGTTATTTAGGATTTAATTTTTGTGCCTAAGCAAATTTATTTATTTTCTAAAAGGCTCTTTTTTATTTTTTGGTGTACTGTATTAAATTTTTATTAGTTCACACGCATCTTATTTGAATAATGAAGTGCATTTTCACAACTAACAGCTGTATTTATAATATATATTGAAAAATTAGTCTCAAATTTTATAGCTTTATCTGGATATACATAACTTCTGTAAAATATATGCTCTTGCCATGCAAGTTGATTACTTTGAATGTGTGTAAATTTGATTTTGTGTATATATGTGCATTCCAGTGGTCTTGTTTTGCCAGCAGATCATCTAGTATTGTATGAATGGTCATTTTTAGTAAAAAAAAAAAAATTTATGTATGCAGATTATTAAAGTTTTTTCTAAGAAAACTTTTTTTGATTGACTGTCCTTCCATTACAGTTTCACACACAAATTATATATGTATATATATATATTTTTTTTCAATGACCTGGTCGTATGGCACCGAGGCAGGGTAACCTAAAGAAAAACTAAAGTTTTTTCTTTTTAAATTTAGTAATTTATACAGGAGTTACTAGTCCCTTGCTCCTGGCATTTTAGTCACCTCTTATATATGTACACACGTGTAGTGGACAGCCTCTCTTCACTTGGTTATGTACTCATTTACTGACTACTCGGACTTACGACAGGCTCTCTGACCAGTATGCATACCTAAATAATGCATTTAGAGCTGATTTCCTCTATTCTGTTTATTACAATATATGTACAGTAAAGTTGTATAAACATTTAAAAATACAGTGGACCCCCGGTTAACGATTTTAATCCGTGCAAGAGGGGTAATTGTTATGCGAAATAATCGTTATGTGAATGAATTTTCCCCATAAGAAATAATGGAAATAAAATTAATCCGTGCAAGACACCCAAAAGTATGAAAAAAAATTTTTACCACATGAAATATACATTTTCCTACACACAAAGAGGAGGATACATGCACAATAGTAGAGCAGTACATGCACAGAATATATTGTGCATGTACTAGTCTACTAAATGAAGAATAAATGACACTTACCTTTATTGAAGATGCAGCAATGACTGATGAGACACTGTGTCCTGGGAGTGCCTTTTCCTCCTGAGTACTGTAGGTCCTGTTTGGCATTTTCTTCCAGAACAGGCCTTATCACACTGTGTATGCCACTACGATTCTTAAATCTCTCAAACCAACCTTTGCTGGCTTTAAATTCACCAATACGAGCACTAGTTCCAGGCATTTTTCCCTGTTCACCTGGGTGTTAGTCGACTTGTGTGGGTTGCATCCTGGGAGACAAGATTAAGGACCCCAATGAAAATAAGTTACAGTCTTCGATGACACTGACTTTTTTGGGTTATCCTGGGTGGAAAATCCTCTGGGGTTAATTGTTTCTTGGTATTCTCAATAAGCCACACCAACAACGGTGCTACAGCAGCAGCAGCAGCTGACGGTGGTACAGCAGCAACAGACGATGCTACAGCAGCAGCAGACGATGCTACAGCAGCAGCAGACGATGCTACAGCAGCAGCAGACGATGCTACAGCAGCAGCAGACGATGCTACAGCAGCAGCAGACGATGCTACAGCAGCAGCAGACGATGCTACAGCAGCAGCAGACGATGCTACAGCAGCAACAGATGATGCTACAGCAGCAGCAGACGATGCTACAGCAGCAGCAGACGATGCTACAGCAGCAACAGACGATGTTACAGCAGCAGCAGACGATGCTACAGCAGCAGCAGCAGCTGACGGTGGTACAGCAGCAACAGACGATGCTACAGCAGCAACAGACGATGTTACAGCAGCAGCAGACGATGCTACAGCAGCAGCAGCAGCTGACGGTGGTACAGCAGCAAGACGATGCTACAGCAGCAACAGACGATGCTACAGCAGCAGCAGCAGCTGACAGTGGTACAGCAGCAACAGACGATGCTACAGCAGCAACAGACGATGCTACAGCAGCAGCAGACGATGCTACAGCAGCAGCAGCAGCTGACGGTGGTACAGCAGCAACAGACGACGCTACAGCAGCAACACACGATGTTACAGCAGCAGCAGACGATGCTACAGCAGCAGCAGCAGCAGCTGTACCACCAATAGTAGCGATGGTTGATTGGGGTTTATTATACAACCTGGCCAGCTCGGAGACACGCACTCCACTTTCATACTTATCAATGATCTTTTTCTTCATCTCTATTGTAATTCTCACCCTTATTGCTGTAGGGTTGGCACTAGAAGCTTTCTTGGGGCCCATGGTCACTTATTTTCCAGAAAAAGCACCGAAAACACTGTAATAATACGAAATATTCCGATTGTATGCTTGGATGTTACCGCGGAGGCTGGCTGGTAAACAATGCCACCGGCGGAACATGTGAGCGTGGCTCAGGCCGCACATTGGACGCGTCTCAGACGAAAATCGGTGAGCGGGTTTTTAAGCGGTATGTGAGGCAAAATTTTGGCGATTAAAGCAAGCGGTATGCGGATTAATCGCTATGTGATGCCATCGTTATGCGGGGGTCCACTGTATACCAGAAATGTTATAAAGGGTGCAAAGGTGACATTAAAACATTATCAAAGATGGCTGATATAAACCCATTACCATTATAGTATGCTCCTCATTTCGCAACGAAATCGTTTACCAACGTGGTCTTAGGAACAGAACAATGTCGTTAGCAAGGAGAGGCTGCATTAAGTTGTATCTAATAATTTAGTTGGCAATGTTTAAGCTGATAAATATGAAAGTCAAAAGCACACAACACTTCAGAAGACAGCACTGTACAATCCTTGTGGGTTCAGTTCTTTGCTTTTTATCTTAATACTTTCAAAAGAGAAGTAAAGAGGGTGTTTAATAAAACTGAATTTGCTTCACAGTTCCTTGGTATTGATAAAGGTCTCTTTATCCAAGAAACTGGACCTACCATCTCTTATCAAATCAGATAATTTCCCATTTTTCAAGTGGTGTACGCTGCTTGTGGGTCTAACACCATATTACATTTAATATGAAACTGTGTTGTGTATCTTTATACGTATATGCTTCTAAACTGTTGTATCCTGAGCACCTCTGCAAAAGCAGTGATAATGTGTGAGTGTGGTGAAAGTGTTGAATGATGATGAAAGTATTTTCTTTTTGGGGATTTTCTTTCTTTTTTGGGTCGCCCTGCCTCGGTGGGAGACGGCCGACTTGTTGGGGGGGGGGGGAAATGGGTGTGCTTTAACAGAACCTAGATACTATAAATATGAGCTGCATGACCCTTGTGGGTTTAGTGCTTAGTTTGATTGTGAATTTATGGGAGAAGCAGGAAAATTTGTGCAACAGATAGCAATTAATAAAGCTGACCAGATGGCCGCTCCTGTAAAAAAAAAAAATGAATGGCTTTTACTGCAGCTTTTCATGGACTTAAAGTGGAAATATTCCTTTCAGTTAAAGGTTGGTACCTCTGCCTTACTTGGACAGTGCCTGAGGGTTTTCTTGAGTGGATGGGCATCCCTCAGTGATGACCTTGTGGCATGATTGCTCATCCTTCAGGGGCAAAGGCCTCATAAAGGGGGGCTCCTTGGCGTGGTGAAGAGGCTCTTGGTCTGAGGAATTAGACCTGTCGGTCTCCTTCCTCAGACCGAACCTAATTACCCCCCAATCCCCCGTTCCCTATCCCATCCTCCCCTTTTTCCTTTCCTCCTCCTCCTCCCCACCCCTCCCTTTTGCCCTTCCTTTTGGCCTTTGGGTTTTTTTTTTTTTCCCCACAGGCACGCTAGTTCCTAGGTAGGGGAAAGGGTACCTGGGTCCATCCCATTCTGTTCCGTTCCGTTGAGGTTCTTGGCGGTGGCGTAGTTTGCCGTGGAATCTGGATTGCCTGGGGATGTCCCAATCCCTCTCCAGTATCCCGGAGGGTGTCTCCCGGGCGACGGGTGTATCTCTGGAAGCCACCTTTCGGATTCCGGGGGTGGTGGCCAAAGGAGGTATGCTTTGTGGCGGATTTCCGGCCGCCCTCTCTTTTGTCCACCGAGGTAACTCGGCAGATGTGAGGTTGCTATCCCGGATTGCCGGTTTACTGGCATGATAGGTAGGGTATGGCACGGGTTCCATGCTGCATCTGCGATACTTGCGGTGCTGAGGTCCTCTTGGGCGCTGAGGGAGATTTCTGGCCCTTTCATTCCTCCTAGGAACTATCCCTCCCCGGTCCCCCCTTTTTTTCTTTTTTTTATTTTTATTTTCTTTCTTTTTTTTTCTTAAAAAGAAAGAAGTAACCTACCCATGGCAGCCCTAGTCCATGAACCTGCTACCCCCGGGCCCTTTCTTGATACCGCACCCCGTTCTGACCCCGCCTCGTCTTTGGACCACTCTTCGGACACTCCTCGTGCCAGTGCCGTTTCCTCACCCGCTTCAGGTACTGAGGCCTCGACTGACTCCTTCGATTTATCTGACCTTCGCTCTCCTCTGACTATGCTTCCGGCCTCTCCCTCTACGGTGCGGCAATTTTCGAATCGCAGACCCATTCCACGTCGGACCAACTCTGGTCCCACGCCTAAACGCCAACGACAATTACCTGCTGATGATACTTCTCCACCTTCTCGTTCTTCTCAGAAAAGATCGACACGTCCTTCACTACCTTTCCACGCTCATTTTCCCAGACTGCACAATGGACTAAATTCTTCACTTTACGACCGACTTCCTCTACTGCCTATCTTTCTGACCACAGTATTGGAAAGCTCCTACACCATGTGGTAAAGAAAAATTTCTTTTCATGCTCTTTAAGAGCGGTACGCGCATCATCACGGTACAGAATGCTACCCAGGCTCATGAGCTTTCTCGTCTTTCCCATATCGATACTGTTCCTGTCACTATTGAAAAACATCATTCCCTCAATTCTTGTAGTGGTACCGTCATTCTGCCCCATACCATAGTTCAACAAAATTTCCAGACATGTGGCACTGACATTCTTGAACAGCTGGAACGCCAAGATCTCCCAATCCTCAAGGTAGACCTTACGTTTTTCCCTGCCCGCGGGGGGGAGACGATACCCTAGCAATGTAGCTCGTTTAACTTTTGACAGCCGTGAACTCCCATCCTCAGTTTATGTAGCAGGACATCGGTTACAAGTTCGAAAGGTGATCCCTACACCGCAACACTGTAGAAATTGCTGGCGATTTGGCCATCCAGCGAAATATTGCAGATCTATCGCCGAATGCCCAGTCTGTGGTGCCAATGACCATTCTAATACGTCTTGCAATCGACCTCCCTCTTGTCATGAGGCTCACCCTTCGTACTCTCGCCGTTGTCAAGTCTACTTAAATGAGTGGGAAATCCGTTACCTCAAAGAGGCAGAAGGTCCCCCTTATGCCATGGCAGTTTCTCATCTCCACCTCCAAGGGAGACTAACTCGTG